CCGAGTTTCTTCCCAACTAAGGGCAGAAAGCTTATTGTGTTCATTTGTGGAACCACAATGACACAAAGCAGGAGTGGATTAAAAAGTGGAGGACAGAGCAAGGCACAGTAGCCTGTGCAGGTGGCTGAGGCAGGAAGATTACTTGGGCCCAGTTCTAGGCACCTTGGGCAACATAGCAAGACCCCATTTCTAAAAAGAATAATAATAAAGTAAAAAATAAAAACTAGGAGGACTGGAAATAACCCAATTGTCCATCACCAGGTAAATGGATTAACAATTGTAGTGTAGGCCGGGCGTGGTGGCTCACACCTGTAATCCAAGCACTTTGTAGGCCCAGGCGGGTGGATCACCTGAGGTCGGGAGTTCAAGATCAGCCTGACCAACATGGTGAAACCCCGTCTTAAAAAAAAAAAAAAGCCATACAATGGAATACTACTCAACAAAAGAAAAAAAAAACTGATAAATGCAATAATACTAATGAATATCACAGTAATTACGCTGAGTAAAACAAACCAGACACAAAGAATACACCCTGCTTAATTCCATATGTATCAAACTCTAGAAAATACAAACTATCTATAATAACAAAGCAAATCAGTGGTTACCTGAGGACAGGGATAGGGACAAAAGAGGACACTGGTGAAGGGGGCAGGATAAAAGGATTATTAAAGGGACACTAAGAAACTCTGGCGGTTGAGGGTGATAGAGTATGTTCATTACTTTTATTGTGGTAATGTTTTCACAGGTATGTTCATATGTTAAAACTTAGCAAATTGTACTTTAAATATGTGCAGTTTATTGTATGCCAATTATGCCTCAGTAAAGTTTAAAAAAAAAAATGAAAGTGGGGTATGGCAGAGAAATGAATAGGGAGATGGAATTTTGGCTGGAGCCTGGAAGATTTGACCCTGGCTTGAAGAAAGTTCTGTCCAAGCCAGAAGTAAAGGCAATTCACTTCAGGCCTGGGAACAAGCAAACAGGTTTAGGGGAAAGTGAACAGACCATTTTAACTGGAGCAGAAAAACTGTATAGTGGGACAGTAGGACATAGAGCTTTTTCCTTCTTTTAGAAGGAAAAGGCACATTATGGGAGGACTTCAATATCAGGCTTTTAGAACACATGCATTAGATTGCAGTTCTACCACCTGGTGAGTGATCTCAGACATGTCACTTAACCTTTCTGAGATTCGGTTTCCTCACCTGTAAAATAAGAATGATAAGAGTTTTGCTCTTGTCACAGGCTGGAGTGCAATGGCACGATCTCAGCTCACTGTAACCTCCTCCTTCCGGATTCAAGCGATTCTCCTGCCTCAGCCTCCCGAGTAGCTGGGATTACAGGCACCTGCTACCATGCCCAGTTAATTTTTGTATTTTTAGTAGAGACCGAGTTTCACCATGTCAGCCAGGCTGGTCTTGAACACCTGACCTCAGGTGATCCACCTGCCTCAGCCTCCCAAAGTGCTGGGATTACAGGCATAAACCACCATGCCCAGCCAAAAGAACCTATCTTTTTTTTTTTTTTTTTTTTTTTTTTTGAAAGGGCGTCTCTGTTGCCAGGCTGGAGTGCAGTGGCTCCATCTCAGCTCACTGAAGCCTCCACCTCCCAGGTTCAAGCAGTTATTCTGCCTCAGCCTCCCAAGTAGCTGAGACTACAGGCACGTGCCACCACACCTGGCTAATTTGTGTATTTTTAGTAGAGACAGGGTTTCACTGTGTTAACCAAGATGGTCTCAATCTCCTAAACTCGTGATCCACCCGCCTTGGCCTCCCAAAGTGCTGGGATTACAGGCGTGAGCCACCACACCCAGGCAACAGAACCTATCTTAAAAAGTGGTGGATCACGAGGTCAAGAGATCGAGACCATTCTGGTCAACATGGTGAAACCCCGTCTCTACTAAAAATACAAAAATTAGCTGGGCATGGTGGCGCACGCCTGTAATCCCAGCTACTCAGGAGGCTGAGGCAGGAGAATTGCTTGAACCCAGGAGATGGAGGTTGCGGTGAGCCGAGATCGCGCCATTGCACTCCAGCCTGGGTAACAAGAGCTAAACTCCGTCTCAAAAAAAAAAAAAAAAAAAAAGGCTGTGAAGATTTAATGAGACAATGCATGTAAGCCACTTACTTAGCAGAGGACCAGGTAAACAGTTAAGTGCTAAGTGGAAGCAATCATTATTATAACAATTATTATTAACCCCAACATAAGCAAATGTTTAAAGATCCCTGAGCAGGAGAAGTGATCAAAGAGGTTCTTGAGGATTAATCTCACCATCGCTAATTACTTCCCTTCCAGAGTTAAAATACCAAACTCTATCACCTGTTCCCCCCTGTCCCACTCTATAATTTCCTTCCCAGTGAATATCATGCCCAGGAGGAGCCCAAAACCAGCAACTAAGGCTCTCTCATGTTAGTCAAAGGATTCCAGCTGGTGAGCCCCACCACTATGGGGACAAACTCAGTTGAGTTGAGCTATGGCCTCTGGGATGGAGGATCACAGCCACCTTCCCACCCTCAAGGTACTCAGCCACCACCACCTGGGATTTCTATCCAGGGTGCACTCTGAAGAGAATACAGCCAGTGATATTTCTTTTTAATTCTAAAGCATAGGGTCCAGGTTTTCAGAATGATCCTATTTCTCAATTCCCTTAACTGCTAACCTAGGAGCTTACTCTCTGGAGAATTTCTGAAAAAAGGCTTCTCGGTGCCTCAGTTTCCTGATCTGTAAAGTGAGTGATAATAATGGTACTACTTCCTGAGGTCCTGGTGAGAATTAAATGAGTCAATATGTATAAAGGACCTAGAACACTGCCTGACACATAGTAAGTGCTCCGTAGGTGTTAGCTTAACTTTATTATGAACTTTATTTCTTCCATCTTATTAGTACTGCTTTCTATTTGTGATCATATATTTTTCAATTACTCAGCATTACCAGTGACCTTTTTTTAAAAAAAAAAAAAAAAAGTTTTTTAATAGAGACAGGTTTTCATCATGTTGGTCAGGCTGGTCTCGAACTCCTGACCTTGTGAGACGCCTGCCTCGGCCTCCCAAAGTGCTGGGATTATAGGCATGAGCCACCGCACCCAGCCAACAGTGATCTTCTAACAGACTAAACCCCAACGCACCTTTGGGGCAGCAGTTTGGCTGGTGGCTTATAAACAGTCATCACCCAGCTCAGAGGCACCCACACTTTTCTACAGAGCCAGTGGAAGTTGTATCTGTTAATCTCATTCATTGAGAAAATATACTGTAGATAAAAGAATTCAGGAAAGACTTTAACTGGCAACTTTATTAGTAACAATATACACATTTGAAAACACATGTAGGAGACAATTAACATTTATTCAGTCTGTGATAATGTCTAGAGCTCATTTGGATTCATCAAACCCCTGCAATCAACTCCAAAAGCCCTTAGCCAAAAGCAGAGTTGAATCACTCATCAAACCATCAGTGTCTCCCTCGGCAGAATCAAGGGTTTGACAGCAAGAGTAAATATTCTGCACTTCCGCAAAATAAAACTAAAATGCAGTGTCCTGCGTCTGAGAATACAAAGGTGGACAGTATGAACTGCATGACCATGGACCAATGAGGCTTCTCTTTGCCTCATTTGTTTAAAAAAAAAAAAAAAATTAACTTTGTAGTCCTGCCTATCTTGAATGGTCTCCTGAAAACCAGACGAGGTGGCAAGGACAAATTAAAAGCTCCTCTCCTTTAAGAAGGGAACACCAAGACGGGAGGGTAAGAAAAGAAGGAAAAAGGCTCTTTCCAATGACCAACACGCTGAATTTGATGAAAATCCAAAGGTTAGGCTAAACTGGGAAGCACAAGCTGGAACTACCATTGCCACCTCCTCTTTGATGCAAAAAGAATCTTAACACGGCCCCCTCCCAGCTGTTGCACTGAGGTGACTAAGGATACATTTGAGGGAGTAGCTCCAAAAACATTTCCATTTTCACCGTGCCTTCACATACATTTAATGGAAATGAACAGCACCCAACATCCATCCACAGAAGCGATTAAAAAAAAGGTGGGGGCCGGGCGCGGTGGCTCAAGCCTGTAATCCCATCACTTTGGGAGGCCGAGGCGGGTGGATCACGAGGTCAAGAGATCGAAACCATCCTGGTCAACATGGTGAAACCCCGTCTCTACTAAAAATACAAAAAATTAGCTGGGCATGGTGGTGCGTGCCTGTAATCTCAGCTACTCAGGAGGCTGAGGCAGGAGAATTGCCTGAACCCAGGAGGCGGAGGTTGCGGTGAGCCGAGATCGCGCCATTGCACTCCAGCCTGGGTAACATGAGTGAAACTCCGTCTCAAAAAAAAAAAAAAAAAAAAAAAAGGTGGGATGGAAAAATTAACCCAACAATATTAATTCAATACGTAGTATTTAAGTAAGTGTCCATAATGTGCCAGACTCTGACTGGAGCTGAAGATGCACGGGAAAACCAGACCATCCGGTCTGTCAAGGGCTTGAGAATGCCATGAACAAGAAAACAGACAAGCCAATTTCAGACAGCTGCTACGAGGAAGATAAAACCAGACCCGGAACTATGAGAGGCGCGAATTCCTGAGTGGATGACGTAGAAGGTCTCGGGTGACTTTTGAGCTCATATCTACATGGTGTCTTACAGCGACCCGGGGCCGTAGCGTTACCATTTAAAGCAGACACCATTAAACGCAAAAATTATCCACAAACCCAGAAATAGGAGTCTCAAAGCGAACCACGGAAACTGAAATCTACAAATTAAAAAGCTGCGCAGAATTTTGAATAGTCATGTCGCCCAATCAGGAAAAGGCTGGGACCCGGCTGCGCGGGCTTCGTCCAAAGTACACAGAACGGCTGGCATCCACAGGAGGCCCCATCCCAGGGCAGAACTGGTGACCGGACACAAAAGCTGCTGCGAAGCGTCAGTCATACAGAGCTGTCACGCAGTGTTTGCGGAACCCGGACTGAATTGTGTCCCAGAGTTCTCTTAAGTGACAGCCGGACTCAGCCACTTCGTTTTGGAATGATGAAACAGACCCAACGAAGCCACCAGGGCGCCAGCGTGTGAGGCGGGGGTGGGGGCTGGCAAAGAGTCGGATTCCCAACATCGTAAATGAGAACGGACTCCTGGGAAAGCTAAGCAGCACAATTAATAAAGACACGCTCTAGATTCAAAAGCAAATCCAATCATGCACTGGGGACCTCGAGTTCCAAATGACTAAGCAACGTGTGCTATTTCCCATGACCCTTACGCTAAAATAACTCACTTTGTGAGAACTAAGAAAGTGAACAAGCTCTTTTCTAATGATTAGGTGGGTGGCTCTGAAAAGAGCCTTTGGAGTCAAGCAGCCGGCGACTCGAGCGAGCGAGCGCCAGGTCCCGGCAGGGACTCACTTGGAGCTGGTGTACTTGGTGACCGCCTTGGTGCCCTCGGACACGGCGTGCTTGGCCAGCTCGCCGGGCAGGAGCAGGCGCACGGCCGTCTGGATCTCGCGGGACGTGATGGTGGAGCGCTTGTTGTAGTGCGCCAGGCGGGACGCCTCCCCCGCGATGCGCTCGAAGATGTCGTTGACGAAGGAGTTCATGATGCCCATGGCCTTGGATGAAATGCCGGTGTCGGGGTGGACCTGCTTCAGCACCTTGTACACGTAGATGGAGTAGCTCTCCTTGCGGCTGCGCTTGCGCTTCTTGCCGTCCTTCTTCTGGGCTTTGGTGACCGCTTTCTTAGAGCCCTTCTTAGGAGCAGGAGCGGATTTTGCCGGTTCAGGCATGGTAAGACACAGTACCAACGCGACTTAGCCAAGAAAAGAAGTAAGAGAATGGGCGGGCCTGATCCTTTTATAACCACCTTATGCAAATTAGGGCTCCGAGACTCATTCACTTCCATTGGTCCGTGTGTGGACCTTGCGTTTTCAGCAATGTCTACGTAACGACACCGACTCTTGACTTGATTGGCTGGTTCTGAAGCCAAATTAGGACCAATGAAAAACTCGTCCTTGACCCCACCCCTAAGAAAGCTTATAAAGGCTTTCTTCTTGGTGATCTTTCAATCTTATTTTGTTCCGAGGTTCTGAGCTTTGTCTGTGTTTAGCCTTGGTTTTAGTCATGTCTGGTCGTGGCAAGCAAGGAGGCAAGGCCCGCGCCAAGGCTAAGTCGCGCTCGTCCCGCGCCGGCCTGCAGTTCCCGGTAGGGCGAGTGCACCGCCTGCTCCGCAAGGGCAACTACGCAGAGCGGGTGGGGGCCGGCGCGCCCGTCTACATGGCGGCGGTCCTCGAGTACCTGACCGCCGAGATCCTGGAGCTGGCGGGCAACGCGGCTCGGGACAACAAGAAGACGCGCATCATCCCCCGTCACCTCCAGCTGGCCATCCGCAACGACGAGGAACTGAACAAGCTGCTGGGCAAAGTCACCATCGCCCAGGGCGGCGTCTTGCCCAACATCCAAGCCGTTCTGTTACCAAAGAAAACCGAAAGCCACAAAGCCAAAAGCAAATAAATGCAGACAAACCAAAGACCAAAGGCTCTTTTTAGAGCCACCCAAGTTTTCAAAGAAAGAGCTAATGCGCTGTTTCGTTATCAGCCCTTCATTTGACACTTTGGTGGCTCTTAAAAGAGCCTTTGGGGTGAATGGGTATGGTGTCAAGCCTCTTAATTACTTGTTTTTGCCAGGCTTGTGACTCTCCGTTTTCTTGGGCAACAGGACAGCCTGGATGTTGGGCAAGACGCCGCCCTGGGCAATGGTGACACCCCCGAGTAACTTGTTGAGTTCTTCGTCATTCCTCACAGCTAGCTGCAGATGGCGAGGGATGATGCGCGTCTTCTTGTTGTCCCGAGCCGCGTTGCCCGCCAGCTCCAGGATCTCCGCAGTCAGGTACTCGAGGACCGCCGCCAGGTACACCGGGGCGCCGGCCCCCACCCGCTCCGCGTAGTTGCCTTTGCGCAGCAAGCGGTGCACTCGCCCCACCGGGAACTGGAGGCCAGCGCGGGACGAGCGCGACTTGGCCTTAGCGCGGGCCTTGCCCCCCTGCTTTCCGCGTCCCGACATTACGGCTAAAATTGCAGTCACAGCTTCTTTTTCAAGGAGAAGAATGTGGAAGGGATAACCAATTTGATGTAATTTATAAGAGCCACCGGGAGGGGTGAAGGGAAGCCGTTTGATTGGCTGAAAGCGGAGCCGTATCCAACAGCCAATAGGGAAGCAGAAAGCCGCCTCTCGGTTTGCATCCTGCGCCGAAAGGAAATGACGGATGTTGTCAGTATCTACCAATCGCTGACAGCCACATTAAAGCCCCTTATTTGCATGCCAGGACCTTTAAAGAGAGTAGGCTTTCAAACAAAACGCTGGTTCTTTTTTTACCGAGTGGCACTGTGGGTTTTTTTTTGCTTGTCCCCAGTTTACAGTCGTCAAATCCCAGGATGGACCTGCAAGGGTCTGCAGAAGACATCCACAGACGGAGGGTTACTCTCACACAAGAATAGGGGATTCTGAGGCTGATTATCCTCCTGAGCTATGAAGTACCAAGTCCCGCCCTTTCTGTCTGGTCACAGCCAAATTCCCTTTCAAAATACGCGTACTGTTAAGGCTGCCTCCATTCTCGACCCTCCATGTAGCCGCCGGCAGGGGCCTGTCTCTGCTCCACCCCCACACGCCTGCACTCCTCGGAATGCGGTTTGACCGAAGCTACAGTAGACTAGTCATCCTCCTCTTGACCTCCAGGAGGCGGCCTTGAAACTTGCTACCTTGGCTTTCAAAATGTCGCCCTCCGTTTTTCTTACCTCGCCGACTTTTCTCATCCTGCTCCCCGCTCCACTGCCCATCTCTAAATCTGCGAGTCCAGCCGGACTCTGCATCCCTATCTCCAATTTTATCCTAAAGTCTTACCCATTTCTATACTTGCAACTAACATCCAAATTTGTTTCAGAAGCTCAGACCCCCTTATACCTAACTACTTAATGAATACTTCAACCTACTTGTCCCAACGAGCACCTCAAACTCAACCTCAGCCTATCCAAACGCGAACGCATGCAAACAACCTCCCCTTTGCCGTCTTTTCCTGAAATGCACCAACATACTTACAGACACCTAAGCTGAAATCCACTCGACTCTTCCCTTCGTCTCAGCATGTGCAGTCGATTGCTTCCTTCAGACGTTTTCTCCATGCTTCCTTGTCCACCTCATCATCGTCCCTTAGATTTCAGCAACAGCCAGGAAAGGGTAACTTTGCGTCAGGCTCTAATCGATGGTATGACTTCAGCGGCCTTAGAAATCTTTCCTGAAAGCTCTGTTTCTCTTTTATTTTTTTTTTTTTTCTTTTATCCCATATAACAGATGAACCTGCAAGCTTTTGTGTTTCTTCCTCCTCAACTTCCTGTCTCTGAGAGTTCGACATCTCCCACACCATCCCTTTCCTTAGTACCCCTTAAGGTCAGGTAGAATTCGAGAGAGAAAAAAAATAGACTGTGGTTTTTTGTTTTCTGAGGTGGAGTCTCACTCTGTCGCCCAGGCTAGAGTGCTATCTCAGCTCCCTGCAACCTCCACCACCGCCTCCTCCACCCTGCCCCCACCCACCCGTGTTCAAGCGATCCTCCCACCTCAGCCTCACGAGTAGCTGGGATTACAGGCGCTCATCACCACGCCCGGCTAATTTTTGTATTTTTAGTAGAGATGGGGTTTTACCATGTTGACCAGGCTGGTCTCAAACTCCTGACCTCAAATGATCCGCCTGCCTCAACCTCCCGAAGTGCTGGGATTACAGCCGTGAGCCACTGCACCCGGCCAGAAAAGAACAGACATAAATCTTATTCTCTGAGACCTTTTCTGATATTTTCTCCTTTATCCTCACCTTTATTCAACTAGCATTTATTGGACGTGTGCTATTGGGTAATGGGTATATAGATAATTGAAAGTAGTACAAACAAGTCTGTGATTAAATGCTTCCAGAAAATGGAAGAAATCTGGTGAACTCTGAGAATTAAATTAGTTAATATCAGCTATGTATAAAGATTTCTTCTGGTAAGAATGCTGGTATAGATTTGGGAAACATCAAAGTTCAGTCAGAGGTGACCTAAGATACTTCTAATCCAATTGATTATATCATTTGAGAAGATGAATGTTAACAGAAAGGTGCAGTCCACATAGAGTTCAAACAGGTGGCAATTCTAGTAGGAATATGTTGTGTTTTCACCAACACTAAAATATATCTGGCAAATTCAGAGTTTGGCCTTCTAGAGAAGAGTCCTTGATTACAAAAGCGTCGACCTTTTCTCACAGCCAGGATGAAATATTTCTGAAGAATATCAAAGTTTCTTCATTCAGATTCTATGCTTAATTAACAACTTTCTGATTATCTGTTCCAAGATAAAAACATAAGACTGAAGTCGGGGGAGCCAGTTATAGAAAGATGTTCATCAGGTCCGGCGCAGTGGCTCACGCCTGTAATCCCAACACTTTGGGAGGCCAAGGCAGGCAGATCATGAGGTCAGGAGTTTGAGACCAGCCTGGCCAAGATGGTGAAACCCCATCTCTACTAAAAATACAAAAAATTAGCTGGGTGTGATGGCATGCACCTGTAGTCCCACCTACTCAGGAGGCTGAGGCAGGAGAATCCTTGAACACAGCAGGAGGAGGTTACAGTGAGACAAGATCAGACCATTGCACTCCAGTCTGGGCAACAGAGCAAGACTTTGTCTCAGAAACAAACAAACAAAAAGTAATCTATGGGCCGGGCGCGGTGGCTCAAGCCTGTAATCCCAGCACTTTGGGAGGCCGAGGCGGGTGGATCACGAGGTCAAGAGATCGAGACCATCCTGGTCAACATGGTGAAACCCTGTCTCTACTAAAAAAAAAAAAATACAAAACATTAGCTGGGCATGGTGGTGCGTGCCTGTAATCCCAGCTACTCAGGAGGCTGAGGCAGGAGAATTGCCTGAACCCAGGAGGCGGAGGTTGCGGTGAGCCGAGATCACGCCATTGCACTCCAACCTGGGTAACATGAGTGAAACTCCATCTCAAAAAAAAAAAAAAAAAAAGTAATCTATGGTGATAAAGATTAGAATAATGAGAATAATGATTACCTATGGCAGGGTAATATTGACTTCCCTGGGAGCCTTCTGAGGTGCTGGGAATTTTCTATGTCTTGATATAAGCATATTCATACATAAAATTCAACTGTACATTTAAGATTTGTAGTTTTTTGTTTGTTTTTGCTTTTGTTTTATTTTGTTTTGTTGAGACAGAGTCTTGCTCTGTCTCCCAGGCACTCAGGCTGGAGTATAGTGGTGCGATCTTGGCTCACTGCAACCCCCACCTCCCAGGTTCAAGCAATTATCCTGCCTCAGCCTCCTGAGTAGCTGGGATTACAGGCTCGTGCCACCACACCCAGCTAATTTTTTGTATTTTTAGTAGAGATGGGATTTCACCGTGTTGGCCAGGATGGTCTCGATCTCCTGACCTCGTGATCCACCCACCTCGGCCTCCCAAAGTGCTGGGATTACATGTGTGAGCCACTGCACCCGGCCTTATTTTTGTTTTTTTGAGACGGTCTCCCCCTCTCATCCAGGCTGGAGTGAATTGGCATGATCCCAGCTCACTCCAACTCTACCTCTCAGCTTCAAGCAATTCTCATGCCTCAGCCTCCCAAGTAGCTGGGATTACAAGCATGTGCCAACATGCCTGGCTAATTTTTTTGTACTTCTAGTAGAGACAGACTTTCGCCACATTGGCCAGGCTGGTCTCGAACTCCTGACCTCAAGTGATTCACCTTACTTGGCCCCCCAAAGTGTTGGGATTACAGGCATGAGCCACCATGCCCAGCCTAGATTTATAAATCTCTTATATGTAAATTATACCTCAGTAAGCACAAGTTAATTTTTAAATATGAAGAAATATTGAAGTAGTCAACATGGGGGAAGCAATGAGTACCATCCCAGTCCTCATGTTACAGATGAGTATTTTTTTCTTTTTTTTTTTTTTTTTTAGGGGGTTTTTCCCCGTTTGGCTGGGGGGGGTTTTAATCTGCTGACCTCAGGTCATCCGCCCACCTTGGCCTCCAAAGTGCTTGGATTACAGGCATGAGCCACCACGCCCTGCCACAGATGAGTATTTATTATTGTTTGGTTGTTTTGTTTAATTATGTATGAGGTAGCTAACATAATCTCTCAGTGCTTAAAGCCTTTAAAAGCCTTAATCTGGCCGTGACAGACCTTCATTAAATAGTAGATATTATGGTGTGTATATTTTTATTAGAAACAAAGACAATAAGCTTGCCCCGTGGAGCTCGCACCTTGCAAAGTTTTCATTTATTTTTACAACAGCAATAATAGTGATGCTGCCCTTTCCATTCATACATTAATTCACTCATCCATCCAATATATCTTATTGAACACCTAAGTATGCCAAACTGAGCTTGGTATCACACATCTAGAATATAGTGAATACCATTCCTTTTACCTGGATCTCTCTTTCCACATGGTTAATTCCCTCCAGTCATTCAAATTTCTGTTTAAATGTTACCTTCACACCTAGGCTTTCCCTGACCTCAGCCTTCTACCTCTCGCTAACACTATCACTGGATTTGCAAACTGCAAGGTCCTAACCAAAAGCAGGTCCTATAGATGTCATCTTTTTAGCAGCTTTCTCATCATTTTATTCCTTTCTAGCCCATCTCCTGCGTTCACTCAGGTGATTTTTCACCCAGAGTACCAATAAAGACTTTTCTACTCTTCTCCCTCCTTCTACTCTTCCAACTCCTCAAATACACTCTTCACACACTGGCCAGAGTGGCCTTTCTAATAGACATTATGATTCTTTTCTCACCATATACTCTCTCCCCAGGTGATCACGTACCAACGTCTACCTCACCCCCTAGCCCCACCCCCATGATCTCATTTCATCTTCAACAACCCCTAACTAAGAGATATCTCAAATATACTTCTCAGGTGCTAAAATTAGCGGGGAAAAGCTTAATGAGAAATGGGGAAATAGATAGACTTAAAGTATCTTCCACAATTACAGACAGAAAAAAATTTTTACAGTGGAAAAGCCTGACAGATACCATCTTAATCAAGTGATCAGAATTATCACTAGTAATAAGAAAAATAAAGATCATGTGCCCGGATAAAGTTCACAGAGAAGAATTCAACATTACCTCTGTGGTATTCTGGCCAAAAATGCGTACGTTCAATCTTTTTTTTTTTTTTTTTTTTTGAGACAGAGTCTTGCTCTTGTTACCCAGGCTGGAGTGCAATGGCGCGATCTCGGCTCACCGCAACCTCCGCCTCCTGGGTTCAGGCAATTCTCCTGCCTCAGCCTCCTGAGTAGCTGAGATTACAGGCACGTGCCACCATGCCCAGCTAATTTTTTGTAGTTTTAGTAGAGACGGGGTTTCACCATGTTGACCAGGATGGTCTCGATCTCTTGACCTCGTGATCCACCCACCTCGGCCTCCCAAAGTGCTGGGATTACAGGCTTGAGCCACCGCGCCCGGCAACGTACGTTCAATCTTAATCATAAAGAAACATCAGACAAACCCACATGGAGAGACATTCTGCACAATAAATCTCTGCACTCTTCAAAAATGCCAAAATCATGAAAGACAAAAAAAATCCGGGAAACTATTCCAAGTTAATGGAGAGCAAAGGGACGTAACAGCTGAATGTGACATGTGATCCTAGATTGGATCCTGGACCAGAAAAAAAAATGGTTTCCATTTTATATATAGAACAGTAGTGGAATAATTGGCAAATTTTGAATAAGTTCTGTAGATTAGATAATAATACTGCATCTGTGTTAATTTCTAGAGTCTGACAATTATATTCTGGTTATGTTGGAAAATGTCTTTTTTTTTAAGTAAATATACATTAGTCAGGATTCTCCAGGGAAACAGAACCAATAGTAGATAGGTAGATTGATAGATGGTTTTATTATAAAGAATTGGCCTCTTAATTATGGAAGCTAATACGTCCCAAGATCCCCAACATCTTCAGGGTAAGCTGGCAAGCTGGAGACCCAGGAGAGGTGGGTCTGAAGGCCTGAGCACCAATGGTGTAGTTCCAGTCCAAAGGCTGAGTCTAAGCCGCAGGGGAAGCCAATGTTTCCTTCTGAGTCTAAAACTGGAAAGAGCCAACTTCCCAGTCTCAAAGCAATCAGGCAGAAGGAAGTCTCTCTCACTCAGGAGAGGGTCAGTCTTTTTGGTTCCATTCAAGCTTTCAACTGGTTGGATAGGGCCCATCTACATTAGGGAGGGCAATGTACTTTATTCAATCTACCAATTCAAATGTTAATCTTAATCAAAATACCCTCAGAGAAACACCTGTATATGGCCAAATATCTGAGTACCAATTGTCTAGAAGATGGCACATTAAAATTAACCATCACAGTTAGAGTTTAATGGGCTTTATCTCTGAAACTTAGTCTCAAAATAGTTCAGAAAATAATTACATACGTGTACGTAGATACATACAAATAAAGCAAACATAATAAATGGTTAATATT